TACAAACATTGGGATAAAATATCGCTTAAGTACGATTTAATTGTTGTTTTCAACAGATTAAGCTTGTAAACAGGCTTTAAAAATAGAAACCTAGATTGGCAAGGTCGCACCTATCATATTACTCACAACAGTTAATTGGAATTGAATACGACGAGCAATTTTATTATTTCATAAACAAAATATGATAAAGAACGGTTCGAGATAAATAATTGGATTAATTATTCATCAAAAGACATACCATAAGTACATTTTATTAATTGATAGGTTTGTAACGCAAATGTTTTAAAGTTTCTTTTAGCATCAATCAACAGTACCTAATATAAATATTTTAAATGAAGCTGTTATTTTTCACGGATATTCCCTTCAAGAAGAATTTAAATTTTAATTGTGTAAAGTTTGATTGCCTAAAATACTATTCACTATCGAGAAAATATACAATAATATTTAAGTATTATTCAATTCACTCTTAATAAAGTCAGTCAGAGTCATTAATTTTACTCAAATAGCTCAATAAAAAGCCTCCTCCTTTGTTACCAAAAACTCTTCCATTTTGTCGGGTTTAATCAAGGCTTTACCTACGAATCCAACGGAACAATGCGCAACGGCCATTAAAAAACTGAATAATTAAAAATATTCGGAAAGACAATTAGAAATTCTTTTTGATTTCGAAAAACAGGCGGGCGAGCATTAATTATTCTTTTGAGCATTGCAGTCGGCATCGAAGCATTTAAGCGGTCCTAATTCTCGGGCTGTTGAGATTTTACAATGGATTTATTGAAACGGATTTTGCGGAAAGTTTTTAGCTGTTTTTGGGAATTAATTAGTTCGACATTCCGGATCCCGAACGAGATGATTAAATATTCATTGCCTGCGGATTATGTGCTCGAAAAACGTGAAGAGATTAATCGATGTGGGGAGTCTGGGAAATTTAAAGCCGGCCTAAATTTTCGCATCGTCAACAATTATTATTTTTTACTATTTGTAGGCTTTCACGATCGCATTTCCCGACACACCGACGAGCTTTCCCCGTCGAATGGAAATTAACTTGGAAATAAAGTTTTCCAAAGCAACGCGTCTCGTGTATTTGATATCAAAGGCTCCGTTTCGGCATTCAATACGCGCGATTCGCCGATGAACTTCATATGCAGCAGAACAAAATCCGATGCGAAAAACGTAATTTCAATTTAAACAACTTCCGAACTAGTCAGAAGTGAAGTTAAATCAGTTTGTACCTGGAGGAGAAAAACGAATAACGAAATAACAAGATTGGAGAAAATGCTGGAGCGTATAATACAGTTTATCAGAGGATAGAAAATAAAGCTCATTTCGTATTTACTCAAGCTTGTTCAGCACGGTATTATTTCGCGATATTATCGAAGATTTTTATAAGAAAAAATAAAGTAAGCTGAGGGAAAATGTACAATACAAAGTTACACATAAATTAGGTCTAAAAAGGGACTTAGCAAAGAAAACCTGCTTCACATGCAAATAGGTCAATATAAAACTCAGAGTATGGCTTAATTCGATGCTAGTAATCACCAAATTACGACCCTTAATCTGAAAGTCGGAACTTTGTTGGGAAACTTCTCGCACCGTAAAGATTCGTAGATAAGAACCGTCCGGATTATCCGGCGAAGAATTTAAAGATACAATTAAAGTTAATCTTTCAGCACGAGATGCGGTTGTAACTTCGGCTCGACGTTTTTTCCTCCTCTTTCATTCTAATTCCCGGTGAATCGGCGACGATGAGGCGATGTGGAAACTTTTTCGAGGATACCTATTATAAAAAGTTGCCCCCCGAGAAGAGGACGCCATCCATTCCGATAATATATGTCTGCTGTTCAACAACAGTTTAAGGAACTTTCGGTCTCACTGAATGCGTAATTTCATCCGCGAAAGTTTCAAGTTTTATTGAATAAAAAGCGAAACGATAAAATCCAGCTTTAAGTAAACAGATGCGCAGTTCGGGTACTTCATTAGAACTTCTACTATTACGAACGAGCATCATAATTCAATACCTCAATATTTCCAACATCTGAACCGGATAATTTCGTTATTGAATGAATTTGTTTCATTCAAAAAGCGGCTCGCGACGTACAATTCACAACGAAAACCCGACTTTTCTTCTCCAACTAGACTAATACAGTTAGATAACTAATTAACTACCAACGAACTGAGAAGAAAACATTTCGTAATATTCTCCGGAGAAGTTCGTGAGCTGGGGAGTCGGCTGGCATTTGAACTTTACGTACTATCTGAATAACAGTATACACAAACTTCGAGCGATCATTGTTATATCTGTCCAAACTTACGGAGACGCCAGATTAAATAAAACGAATCGGTATATCTCTTGTCGGTTTGATGCTTGGTTTGATTTCAGAATTGCAGTTTACAACAGGTAGTTATTTTGTTTGCTAACATAACTGAATACTCGGACAATACAATAATAGTTAGAATAGTTTGATATACAATTATATTTGATGTACACTATTATTATGTTTTTTTTTTCTAATTAAAAAGTGCAGTGCTAGAACACCGCACAAAGAAAGGAAACGACAAATTAGCGAAATTTGAATTAAAGTCCCCTTTTCTCGGCACTCGGAAAATATTTGTTAATTTCTGTCGCCTCGAGACGAGTAGTTCGTTTGCAATGGAGGTTCGTGACATTCGAACGCGTTTTAGTCAAGTAATTGTGACTAATGGCAGTTTTAATGTCCTTACTGCTTGATTGCTCTATTGTTTTTGGCCAAGTCGAGATTTTTTTTTGTTTTTCGTCTACCAAACTCATTATTATTTTAACGATTTTTATAAGTTTTAACTGTCTTAATTAATGACGGGATAATTTGCATCTGCAAGAGCCGCCTCGGTATTTTCCAAACACCAGAATTTGTCCCTCTCCGATGTATTTACAAATTTCCGATTTATCTCTTGGGTTATTGGATTAGAAAACGAAATATCCTAGAAATAAATTGTTTCGAAGTCGAACGATATAAATTGATTGAGTTGCATCCTTTCGCGAAGGCGATTTCCCGTGGAAATGGAAAAGTGTTTATAATTTGACCCAATTCGATTTTCGTTCAACTCCATTTCGTGCGGGGATCAGGTGCATGGCCGTCGATTTATATTTATTTTATTCTACGGATACGAGAAATTCCGAAATTGCACAACTAATGCACAACTTTTGTCGTGCGAGTTCATCCGGAAATTGTGTTAACGATTTCCTAATAGTTAAGTAAATATTTAAAACAGATAATTCACTTTTGTTTTAGATAAATTATTTTGTATGTAATGGAAAATTAAGGTTAACTACGCCCTTGTTTATTATACAATAACGCTCGAGGCGACAATTTCCTTCGAGATTTGATATGGAGGGTAGGTTTTTCTCGATACTAACTCGTTATTTCCCATTAAAATTTAATATCACTCGAACCCTTTTTTAATAAATCGAACTCCTTCGACACGTTTCCTAATTTCCCATCTTGAAATATTTGGGCGAATTCATTATAGCTTTGTTTTCGCATCGAACATCGAAAAACACATCACTAAATCTAAATTTATAAATCAAACAAACGACAAAATAAAATTATATAAGATTTCAACAAAAGTTTACGTTACGAACTAGTATAGTCTATTAATAGAATGCATATTCCAAAGACGCAATTTTTCCACAATGTCATTTTAAAAACGTTCGGTGAATGATTCATTAATTTTGTTTGCTGCGAGTCGAGTGGACTTTCAATTCTATTTTACACGGAAAATATGAATTCACTTGACATTATCCTCGCATAAAATAAATAGCTTAGGCAGGTAAAGCGGTGATATTTTTAGGACATTAAAACAGTACATGATTTTGTGAAATGTAAACATAAAACTAAATAAATGGAGAGCTGTAGTAGAATAATGATTGTTTTGATTACGAGAGGTTTTTTGTTAGGAATTTACGAAGGATAAAAAATCTATAGAAAATCCCTTTAAGTCGAAAGAAATTCTGTGTTGTTGGCAAACGCGCAGTCAATGCTTAAAAGGCCACACCTTTGACGAAAAGAAAGAAAAAAAAACCGGTTAAAGCCAAACTGAGTTAGGTCACGGTCGTGACGATTTCGATGGGATTGTCGTCGAGTTAATGGGAAAAAATTAAAAAAAAAGAAGCAAATACAAAAGAGTTGCCAAATCGAATGTTGCCTTCTTGGGCATACGATGCGAATTTCGATCGACTCATTGTCGTAAAATCGAGCTTTCGCTTACAAGGGCACAGCCATATTGATAATTGTCACTTGAATGCTAACAAATCATGTTTACTTTATACAGAGTAGGTATCATATTTTTGCGGATAGTGGAGAAATACATAAAGTATATTTCCACTTGCACCTTCCCTTGTGTTTATTCACGGCAATCACGATTTGGAGAAGGAACGCTATTGGCAACAAAAATTAGTCAGAAAACAAAAAAAATAGACAAATTGTAATCAAGTGGCAGCTCTGGCATTGTTGCTGTACCTACTTTGTAAATATTTTAGGAAAATAACTTGAAAATATTCATTCTAAATTACACCTCCAAAGAATCTAAACAATTTAACGTCGCTATAAAAATTTTATCGACTTTCCTAATAGCCCCCCGTATAAGCTCGGGAATTTATGCCGCCCTCGTATACCCTTTAATTGAATAATTGAAGGAACCGATCGAGCCGACTAATCAGCCCGAAACCGACTTCCACAAATCGCTGATATTCGTCCGGGCGACTGTACGGCTCAGAATGCAGTATTACCAGCCGCCCTTTCAACCTTGTCCTAGGGACATACCTCGAATTGCAACCCTTCGTATAAATCAATAAAACCTTCAGGGGGTTGTTTTCGACGGAGGAAGGTCGAACAGTTCGTTCTCTTCCTTTTGCTATCAGAAGGACGATAATACGTGATGAATAAATTACTTAATTGAGGAATGTAAATTAATAGTAGAAGAATAAAAGTGAGTGAATGATTGTGAATGTGAAAAAAGCTTACCTTAATCTGATAGGAGTTCAATTTGTTTTTTGGTAACGCATTGAAAGAGCTGAAGTCCAAACGTCTCGTGAAGATGCCATTAGCTCCACCTCCGATGCTGCAACAAGAGAGGAATATTGAACAATTAATGCCGGTTGATTAAGCGAATGGTCTTTTTTTTCGCGAACCGGCGAGCGTTTATTGAAAACCGTCGAGATTTTCAATTCGAAATAATCAGTTGAGCGTAATCGCATACCGGAGAGCCGGTTTACAAAACGGGCGTTTAAGAAATTAACAAAACTTGGCGCATAAATAAAGTGCATTAAAGTCGTACCGAACCTTGTTTGAAACGGTGTTTCTAGCTTTCTCGACGACGTTATTTACAACGAGATTTAAAGATTGGTTAGGAGAAAAATTTTCAAAGATTTATTATCGCGGGATTCTTAACAATATTAACAATAAATGAAACTAGTTTTTACATGAAAATAAATTTAGTAGAAGCGAGTATTCGGTATATTTGCAGAACATAAAAGGCGTTCGAAGTTTTCGTTATAGTGCGAACTGCGAAAATCGCATTTCGCTGTTATGCATGTACAATTTAAAATTTCAATTTCGCTAGATGAGCGTACAAATATGGGTTCACGGTTGACGTTTGACGGGGATCAATGCAAATTCGATTGCGGTCGGCCTAGACGTTGGAATGGCGCAGCCGGATAGGGAGAAATATAAACCTTAAATCCCGTAATGCCGTGGGTTAGTTTATCTGCGCCGCGAAAATCGGATCTGTCATTTTTCGCACGCCCGGGAAAACGACTTCGGTGTATTTTCATCTGGCGCTGTCACCCACGTACAAGATTCGCCGAATGTAAATGTAGCATAACCTTTCTCGCGAACTGCGCGACTTCATTGCATTACGCGGAAAATTTCGCCCGTAACTATGGAAAGGAAAATGAGTGATATTACCTTTTCAATATCCTCTTTTCCTTTATAGATGTTCGCTTTATTCCTAGCACTGTGACTGAGTGTGATTGATGCATATACCAAAAAGCAGTCGCGAGGAAATTCCATATATGTTTTTTTTTTCACGTCTGAGCTTAATAAAAATATTTAAATCCGATTGATAACCTCTACTGCATTGGATATTGTAGCAAAATTTAGGAGCTACGTTTACTGTACAAAACAAATCCTTCAGAAACTAAATATTCGAATTACGTAAGAACCAAACAAACCGTAATTCCTCCTACTCGTCGAATCTCTAATCGCGTTATATCAGCCGTTAGCGCAAAAAAACTATGCCATTTTTTCCGAGGTCTTCAACAAACCCGATCTATTTGACCTTGGCAATGAATTACAATCAAAATAAAAGGCAGTGGAGCATTCGCGCACGAAGAACCTGATGGCCTTGAATTCGCCAAACAAAGTACCTAGAACCGCTCCGGTGGACATTGCGGTTTCGTTCGCTCCGCATCGCGAAAAATGATAGCCGGGCGACTTCGGTTGCCGCCGAAGATAAGCCCGTTCGTTACGCTATCGAATCACGCACAGTAGGAGGATGAAGAGAGTTTATTTTCGGAATCAAACGAAATCGTATTTCTGTTTCGAATATATAAAAAAAAGCAGTCGCATGCCAAGACATTTGTCGTTACCCGAACGAAACGCGTTCGAATAATCTTTTCGGCTAAAAACAACACTTCGACGCGCTATCGCTGTCATGATATCAAACGTTTTAGACCGTAAACAATGCGGCTAAATTTGTTTATTATACAATGGCGTCGCCTTGAAAATTCGTTCACGAATTACAGTTCCCATCAACGAGCCGAAGAAACAATAAAAGTAACTATTTTGTATCTCGTAAAAGCTGATAAGATCGGCTCGCTTCAATGGCGTTCATCACGCTTATCGGGATCTCCATGAAAAAACCCTTTACAATGTAGTGGAAATGAGGAAATATTACGCAACATAATGTGCAATATAATGACCCTCAATATCTACGTACAAGTGAAATAGTTTAATTTACGAGGTTCGTACGTAATATGAATATTTATAGAACCTGCACGATTTCTTGTAGGTAATAAAAAAACGGAAATACAATGTTTTCGAATGATTTTAAAAACGCTAATTAAACATAGATAATCATAAATCTTGTCCCGTGGACATGTTCGAGTCGACACTACAAAATTTATGCAAAACGATATCAACAAACGTAACCTTGAGGAAAAAATAGCGCATTTTGAAGTTTTGGTATACCATCCGATTCCCTACTACCTTGTTTTTGTTGTCAAGGTTACAAACTAGAACTGCGACGTGTGTAAAAACAGCTGGAATACTACAACAAAAGGGTTTAGCCAACTAAAAATAGACGAGCTTTTTCGATAATAATTTCCTGTTTATCACACATTTCCTGCACAATACGATGGTTCTGTAACAGTGGGTGTGGCATGACGATGTTCCACACCACACGTACTATCATTCCCTTTTTTCGGCATACATTATATAATATACACAAGGTCGTACCTCTATCTACTACTGAACACAATACAACTATTTCCAGTACAAACCAATTAACAAAAAAACGGTTCGAACAGGGTATTTAAATTGAATATTTTTTACGATCCCTAAATCAGAGTAGAAATTGTGCTCGCCTGGAGAATTCCTGCGAGCCGAAGCGACGCTACGCATCGCGGCCGGGGGCGCTTCTCTTGCAAAATTCGGCAGAAATCAATGGCAATGGCACGAGCAGAAGGGAGAAAAGAGAAGGGACAAAAACCACGGCCCTACGCAATGCAGGCAATGTTGGACCGGACGCAGGAGTGTATCATGGCGTAGGCAGGAAAAGCGACGGCGGTGGCGGGCCCTTCGTTGCCCCGTTCCAAGGTCACAAAGGTCATTATAAATTCAATAACACAGACGCCTGCACCAAACGCGCTTTGTTGATTATTGAGCCGACGGTCGGTCTGTCTGTTCGTTGCATGTACATAGGTAATTATCGATTGATTGATTGGATTATGAATTTTTTACGTTACTGAAATGGTATAGGTAATTCAATATCGCGAAGTTTAGGGTCTCTATCAATTTATAACCATTAAAAAACTACAGAAACCATACTATAAACAAACCAATAAAATTATCGGCTTTTATAAATGTTTTACAAATTATTCAGTTGCTAACTTAAAGAAGGAAAACATGTAATAAACACTGCAATGTTTAACTCATTTGAATAAATATTGAAGTGTTAAATTTGAATGAATCTTATCCTTATCACAATTCAAATAGACAATAATTTTAAAACGCATGTAAATATAACTACATTATAAGCAGAGAAAAACAGCTGTTAATACAGCACTGATAAGCAAAAGCAGAAGAAACTTCACTTATTTTATTTATGTCCGCACATATGCATATAAAATTATTTCGTTTTTAATTTTTTATCCCACTTAGCCAGTCGCTGTTTATAATATAAACCATGTTTCAAACAAGTTTCGTTCTTAATTAGGAGGCTTCTTAATTAAATTCACTGCGAGCCTTCTTTAAATATCACATCACGTTTACATTTCTTGACATTTGCAAATGCTCGTTTTTATGAAACTTTCACAAAACAAAACTTCGATTTCCGACAATAAAACAAGTCGAAACATTACCGTAAAATTAACATTTTACAAGGGAATCGTTACCGGACCTAATTTATAAGTCTTGTACGCACGTAGTTAATTCGAGTCGATTGTAAGTCCTCGATTTTTCTCGAAATGAAAATCGCAATATAAACAATTTATTCGACACGTCGACCTATTTTCACTTCGAGATGCATACGCATCAGATTTATCGAATAAAAAGATTTAACGGCGACGCCTTGACCTCAAATATATGCAATTGGGTGATCGATGCATCACAGCTGGATATAGTTTTCAGGATTATCTTTTAAATGCCACACAATATTTCATTTTAAGATCTTTTACCTTCGAAAATATGAATTACTAACTTCTTTAATCTTTATTAATATGCAATCACTTCTGTAGAAGCTCCAATAATAATGATTTCATAAGTGTAATGCTCTGAAATTTATGTGAATTTGAGAAAAAAATATTCGGTAATACTTAAATTTAGTCTTCTATTTAAGTCATTATAATATTTACATGGAAATTGAATCTGGGAACTAATGAACTTGAATTTTTTTCCGTCAAAACAAATTTCTCATTTTTCTCATTTGCAACGTTCGAAAACATTCGGTTTTCTCTCCGTCTAGTAGATGGGAAATTATGCGAATCTCGTCTAAAAATAGAGGGAAGTTTTTTTTTGTCGGTAAATAAACTCGCTTGCCAAAATCTATATTAAATGGAAGTGCATAGGAGAATAAATACGAACATAGTTATTCTCGACAGTTGTTTTGCAATCGTACACAAATAGCGGCGCTACAACAAAAATCGATAGTACATATGTAATTTGATTAATTAATTGGTGGAACTCAAATGGATAATTGAATTAAATTGATTTAGACATGGAGTTGTTTATTGATTATGATTATTACAGTTAGTGTTATTGAACTTAAAAGTTCGATATATTTCACAAATAGGAAGGTACTTTAACAGTTCAAAATTCTAATAAAATATAATTAACTTATAAAAGTAGCCAAAGCGAAATATATATTTTAGTAGACGCTTATAAGGTGCTTTATCAATAAAAAATTGAAGAAAATTATTTCTCACCAAATGATTCTTCTACGTTCGTTAAATTACTAATTAAAAAGCAAACTTGTTTTAAATAATTTACGATTTATACTTTTAATTATGGCGTCCGGAAAGTTTGACTCCGGAGTAAAAGCAACGAAGTTTCCTTTTTAAGTTTTTTTTATTTTCCAAGACGAAGATAATTAAAAATTTTAATACTTGTTAAAATTGTTTTTAGCACGTCTGAAACTCTATATACGAATTTTTTAAGACAAAAAAATTTCGAAGTGTAAAAATACAATTTATTAGCGAGTTCTTCCTTCCAGCAAGGAAGGTTATGAAACCAAACAACTCCGGTCTGAATAAGCGACTTTAATAATACATTTTAGCAGTAATTTCCAACCATTGAATACCCACAATTGCATCAATCACTTGTATGCGCAAGTACAAAGAGTAA